AGGTTAACACAGCAATCCAGGTTTCCTGACAGACCTGCAGACCATCCCTGTCACTGAGATACTGTTTCTTCTCCAGATGCATGACAGGCCTGCTCCAAAGTCACAGGCTGTAGAGCAGAAACCCCACAAGTGAGACATTCCCAGGAGCAAAGGTCCTGCTCCAAGGATCCTAAGACAGTGGTCTGGTCCCCATGATGGGAAAGCAATGGGCTCCCAGCCTGGACAGACTCAGCAGAGACCACGGAGTTAGTTAGGTCAACCTGGGATAACACCAATAGGGCAGTGGTGGAACCAAGTATATAGGTAAGAAGACCAGAAGGGCCAGCGCTGGGATCCTTGTATGACCCTGGGCAAGTTACTGCACTTCTCTGAGCCTCAGTTGCTCATCTGTTAAATTGTGTTGTGAAGGCTCCCCACCCCCATCCCACAGGGCTAATGGAAAGGATTAAATGCAAGCAGATGCATCTAAATGTTAGCACCATGTTTCACTCATAATAACCCGTTAATGAATGGCAACTGCTATTAGATTGCTTCTGAATGCCATTCAAGATGGGCTGTCCCTAAGGGAACAAAAGAAGTTTAGTGGTCCACTCTTTGTAAAGATTAGAGAAATAGGAGAAATCCAAAGATAAACTGTGATGTGGGGAGGGGCTGTCCCTGCTGGGAAGGTAGACAAGCTCCAATCAGCACAGACCTCCCCTGGATTAAATGCTGGGGGTCTGGCTGACCTCCCAAGTGTTTTTCCACTCAGGGCCTGGGCGTCCTGCCCCCTCTCTGGACTCACACTGGGCCCTGGAAGCTAAGTGGGCTGAGCAGCTGGAAGCCCATGGAAGGGCGGTGTTTTCCTCCCAGGAAAGCGCTGCACCACAGCACGGAGCGCTATTTACAAATAAAGCCTGTTCTGGCTCCACCACCCACACAAGCAGGCCCTTTATTCCATTTCAATATGCCTAATTCCACAGAAAGTGCACTGCAATAAACAGAATTAATCAGTGCTGGATGCCCAAGTGAGTGTGGGCAGGTGTCAGCACAGGCAAGGGGCCTGTGAGGGGAAAGGAAAGTGTAGCTACCATCAAGCGCCTTGCTGCTGAGGATAGCATAGAAGGACTTAACCGAAGGTGGGCAATTTGTTGCAAGCAAATTACCCGAGTGCCTACAACCACCTGGCAATCTCAGGCAATGGTAAAGTTTTATAAAATGTGCCTCCCTTTGCCTTCATTCTAACTAAATGAACAGAGTATCTTTGTTGCCCATCTTCCCAATAGTACATAACTCTTGGAGGTCAGAGACAGTGTCCCCCAGCACCCACCGTGTGTGTGTGTGTGTGTGTGTGTGTGTGTGTGTGTGTGTGTGTGTGTGACCCAATGAGTTTCATTAAACCTACAGGTGCAATTTAAACAGTAGTTGCATCACTAAAGAAAATGTCTCTCCATCCTCCAGCAAATATTAGCTGCCTATTAATCCTTGCTGAGGGCTGGGGAGGAAACTTGTGATCCCCTATCTATAATGTAATGTTGACAGGTGCTGCAACAAAATCCCAAAGACAAAATGGCTTACGCACTGATTATTGCTGACAATTCTGGAGGCTGGACAGCTCGACATTAAAATGCCAGTGGATTCTGTGCCTGGTGAGGACCCTCTTGCCAGGTCACTGATAACATAGATGAGGGTTCCACCCTCATGGTCTAGTTGCTTTCCAAGGGGCCCCAACTCCTGAACCCAACACTGAAGGGTGAGGATTTGAGTGTGTGAATTTAAGAGAGACACGCAGTCTACACCCATGTTTACTACAATAACTAATGGTGCCATTAGTTTGTTTCTTTTTATCTTTTCAACAGCCTTGAGTCAAGCATGTTCCTTAGTAGGGACAGGGAGGCTCAGACAGGTAGAAGATGTTCCAAGATCACACAGCCATGAAGGAATGGAGTAGAGCTGGGACATGTGCTGTCTTTCCTCATTAGAACCCAAAGCACTTTCCAAATGCCCCACATTTCCCAAAACCCCATTTTGCCTTATCTTCCCTATGACAGTCTGTTTGCCATACTGAGTTATGGGGTCCTGGGATCCCAAGATAAATGTATGCATGCAAACATGCATGCATGTACACACACACACACACACATACACACACACACTCACATGCATGCTCCAGACCCTTTGTTGCAGACTCCAGCCTTGCCCTTGGGCTAGGCACTCTTTTAGTCACCTGTGGTCAAGTCTATGAAATCATTCTGCACTGCATCCCATTTCTCCTCAGTGTGTTTCATTATCTACCTCTCTCAAATGCCACCTGGGCCCAATATCGGCACTCCACATCACTGCAGGCCCAGCATCTATGACTATTCAAACACATGCTGTCATGTATCACAGTGATTTGGGTCCTGGCCAGTGTCCTTGCATGCAGAGTCTCTGGCTCTTGGATGAGTTGTTAGTTATCCCTAGTAAGGGGTTCAGCACTGCACATTACACCCTGGGCTTTGGGATTTAGACAAGACTCATTAGGCACAAGCTTTGTTTCAAAACCTACTTTAGGCCAGTGAGTGGGACTTCATTACATCTGGAAGAACCTGGGACATCACCTCACTCCACCAGGTAGCATGGAATGATACATGTGAGGCGACACAGCTCTGCTTAGAACATGAGCTAATTAATCATGCACTTGCAGTAGCTGCTGGTCTGGATTGGATGCTAGCCCTGAAGCTGCCTGCTATAGCCATAGCCTAGCTCATAGCTTCCTCTCTCCTGCCCTTTGCATGTGTCATAACAAGTCCTGGTGTCAGGGCTATCAAGGGTATCCACAGTGTTTGCAAAACAGCCTCAAAAGAGCTGGGCTGTAAGAAAATGCTCCACATCCTTAGCTATCAGGGAAATGCAAATCAAAACAACTTTGAGATACCATCTTACCCCTGCCAGAATGGCTAAAATTAGAAACACCAGTGATGACTTATGTTGGAGAGGATGTGGAGAAAGTGGAACACTCCTCCACTGCTGGTGGGAGTGCAAACTCATACAGCCACTTTGGAGATCAGTATGGCGGTTCCTCAGGAAAATGGGAATTAGTTTACCACAGGACCCGGCAATCCCCCTCTTAGGCATATACCCAAAGGATTCACATCAATGCAACAAAGACATCTGTTCAACTATGTTCATAGCAGCACTATTTGTAATAGCAAGAACCTGGAAGCAACCTAGATGCCCTTCAATTGAAGAATGGTTAATGAAGATGTGGCACATCTACACAATGGAATACTACTCTGCAGAAAAAAATAATGGTATCTTGAAATTCGCAGGCAAGTGGATGGCACTTGAAGAAACCATCCTGAATGAGGTAACCCAGTCACAAAAAGAGGAACACAGTATGTACTCACTCATATATGGATTTTAGACCTAGATCAAATGATCACCAGCCTATAATTCACATCACCAGAGGAACTAGGATACAAGTTGTATTCTAAGAGATTCATATAAAGTCCCCTCACAGAACTGGGAAGGGACAAGTCCCCCAGACCTCAGGTATAGTGGGGGAGGACAGCTAATGGAAAGAGAAGTAGGAGAAAATGAGAGGGAGGAGAGGAAGGCATGTGTGACTAGGAGGATTGAGCCTGGTTAGGAATGGAAAATAGGAAAGAGAGAGAGAGACAGAGACAGAGAGAGAGAACATAAAAGAGGGAGCCAATATTGGTTTGAAGATAAAGTTGAACACAAAGAAAGGTCGAGGGAACTACAAGACTGCTCCCAACTAACAATCTCAGCTTCCGTGGAAAGGCTATCATAAATGCCCTTCCCGGAGAGTGAGATCAACAACTAACTTCTCCATGGAGTCCTCAACTAATGCCTGTTGAAAACAGGAGCAAACACCCATACATAAACACTGAGTCAAACTAGAACCCAGAAGCAGATGGAGAGGACAAGACCATGCGGTAGAAGTACATAGAGACAGCTTACCTGAACAAGGAGGAGCTAAGGGCCACTAGACTGATAGCTGGGAAGCCAACAGAGGTCTGACTCGGACTCCCCTGAATATGGGTCTCAGCCAGAAGGTCTGAGCAGTCTAAGAGACCTCAGACAGTGGAGCCAGGATGTATCCCTGGTGCACAAAAGGACTTTGCAAACATATCCCCCATGGAGGGATAACTGCCTTATTCTAGAGATAGGAGAGAAGCCCTAGTCCCTACTTCACAGGACCTGTCAGATCTACATGACCCCAACTGGATGGCATTCCCCTACATATTGTATTGTGGTGGGGGGTTGGGAGGGGAGGGTGTTTAGAGTGCATGGGAGAGGGTAGAGAGGGCAAAGGGAGGGAAGGAGGGAGGGAGGGCTTGGGGGGAGGGAGGGAGGGAGGGAGAGGGAACTGGGATCGACATGTAAAATAATAATAATAATAAAAAAAAAAAAAAAAAAACGCTTTGACTCCAAAAATTTAAGTTGAAGAACAAGTTACTGGGGAAAAGTATTTCTATTTTTGTTTCCACAGAAAATGAAAAGATGTGGATTCCTTCCAGACTAATGTGGTTTGATCACACCAGACCGCCTGAAACAGAGTACAAGCTGATCCTACATTCCAAACAGCTGGACAAAACAGCCCTACAGACTACAGCTAGGATATCTGAATCTTCTTCGAATCCCCCAAGACAGCGCCCCTTACCAGCAGGAAGTAGTTTGGAAAGAACGACGCCCAAATTCCCAAATATTGTGTATAAATGTTTGTTTTCATTTAATTGGACTTTGTTATATAAAATTAAATAAAAAATACTCTATATGCAAAAAAAAAAAAAAAAAAAAAAAAAAAAAGAGCTGGGCTGGCCCACTGCCTAGCGCAGTGTAGGAGGCCACCCTGCTGATGCTCAGAGCTGTACACTATGGACCCAGCAGCCAGCAGGGGCTGCCCAGCTGATCCTGTCCTCAGCTGGGCCACCACCTGCTGAAGTAAACCAGCTTTGGAGATCTTCCCCACCCACATCCCCGCACATGCAGTCCGTGGCCCGTCGTCCCCTCACCTTGAGCCCACTGCTTTCTGCTTCAGAGCCTGGGTCCACACCAGTGATGTAAATGCCAAGGCCGTACTCAGCTCCACCTCGGATCGTGAGGCCCAGGGACCGGCCGTCCCCCAGCACTAGGTTCACCTATAGGAAGAAGAGAGGTAGCTACATTAATCTGGAGGGAGCCAAGCTCTGGTGGGGAAGAGCAGCACACCACAAAACACCCTCCCAAGTCCCGGAAAACACCAGATCCTAGCCAACACAGCAGTGCTAGGCAAGGCCTTGTGGAAATCCCCAAGGCTTGCCTCAGCCCTGCCTTACCTGTCCCTCTGTTCACTATAGGAACACAGGCAAAGCAAGGCACTATCCCCAAAGGCCCCTTAGCACTAACATTCCCAATGCATTCACCCGTGAGGATGGTGTCTATTAACAGTACATCTTGGGGCTGCCATGAGCATCACCTAGGCTTCAGCCAAAGGTGACTTCTTGCTTCGGGGGCTCGGCCCACATACTTACTCCTGTCTTCCCTCCATAGGATCAAAGCTTGGTTGCAGCTTGGTGCCACAACCATTTGAACCCAGGAGACCTCCCTGGAGGGCCTCCCACCACTGCAGGGTTTCCAACACCATTGTTCTGCTGCGTTCCACTCCATTCTGCACACTCAAGGCACACCAACCCAGTAGTAGATCCCTCTGCTGATGTGGGGGCTATGGAGATGCATAGACATTACCCTACTCAGGAAGTAGTGCCACAGATCCAGAGCACAGGGAGGGACACATGAACCACAGGGCCACAGAGAGACACAGGCCCAGATAGAAATCCAGGGAGGCAGGGTTTTCTGGGAAAAGAAGTGTCTCTGAGAAAGTGGGAGGCTGAACACATAGGTAGAGCTGTCAGTGCTGAATAGTAGGGGCACAAGCCTTGGGGGTGAGCCCCAGGGTCCTCTAAGGGGAGAGGTGCATAGGAGAACAAGTACCTCAGGCATGTGATGATTATGGGGAAAAAAGAGGGGCTAGCTCAAACCTAGCCCAGAGAGATAAAAACCCCCCCCCCCACCGCATCAAGAGAAGACTCATAAAAATGTAAAACACCCATGGTGGAAAGTGGAGGACATGACCCTCAGGCATCACGGAGGGCAAATGTCACTATTGACTGTCTTTTTTATTTAATGATCTAATTTTGATTTTACGTGTATTGGTGTTTTGCCTACATGTGTGTCTGTGTGAGGGTGTCAAATCCTGTGGAACTGGAGTTACAGACATTTGTGAGCAGCCATATGGGTCCTGGGAATTGAACTCAGATCCTTTGGAAGAGGAGCCAGTGCTCTTAACCACTGAACCACGCCTCCAGCCCCAACAATGAACTGTTTTATTCTCCAAGGTGAATAGTTACAGTATGTTCTATCCCAACCCCAGGAAGAACCTTTTCCATCACTCCAGTACCTGGTTTATTCAGCATTCACCTGGACAGAGGTACCAAGAGACGAAAGAGCAGGGAAGTCATTTAAATTCTCTGTCTCGGCTCTGCTTATCTGAACACGAGAACAAAGCTGGTATCTGCTTTTCTTTATAAAGACACAAAACTGGTGCCACATAAAGTTTTAATAAATTTTAGGACATGTTCAATAAATGGGATCCATTGCTGGGTGGTTCCATTTTGCATGTGGTAAAGCTCTTGTAGGGAAAAACAAAACAAAACAAAATTTTAAAAAACCTGCTGACCCAGGCAAGTCTATCTGACTGTAGCCAAGACCAGTCCAGGTGCTTAGCTTTCTCCTGCTCTCTTCCTTTACCCCTGAGCAGCACAGAGGGGTGGTGAAGGGTCCAGCTATGACTCTGTGAGTGTGGTAGCCACTCAGGATAGCCTTCCTCAAGCTACCAAGGGATGCACGTGACCATGAGTCAAGGGGGATCAGAAAAAACAGGCCTGTCCTCCTGAACCCATGGCTCTACAGACTCCCAGCTCAGATCCAAGAGCTGCTGCCCAGACTTGAAGTTCTGCCCCACCACCCTGCTATAGGGCCCACCTAAGGCTTGTATGGACTTGAGTTGACCTAGGTCTGATGCCCACCCTGGTCCCTTGTCACATATGGGCTTGTACATCTGGGAGGTAAACTTCAACCCCTCAACCTTGGTTTCCTCACCTAGAAGGGAGAAGGGTAGAGACACACTGAGAACACCCAGATTGTTGCTATTTGCAGAAGGGCATCATAAGGCAAGCCACTGGCTAAGCTTCCAGAAGCAGAAACAATTCTTGGGAGGTGATGACTGTTGGCTGCCTCATGTCCTAGACAGACTGGTGGATATGAGCGGGCACTGTCCTTCTATCCAGACATGTGATCCAGAACCTTGTGTCCAAGCATAGACAGAGAAAAGCCTGTGGCAGGGTCAGTCCCTGGAGAGGCTCCTGCCAGTGTAGGGTAATAGGGAAACAGAAAAGGGGATGTGGGAAGGTGCAGGAGATCCCCTGGGACAAGGGCTGGGGTGTTCACCACTGAGGCTTCACCAGAGTCATACCCAAAGCCTCCCCAGAGCTTCTCTCACTTCCAGCACCAGTGAAGCCTCTACTGTGACAGCCATGCAACCCCCTCCTTCCTTGCCAGGCCTGTGTCCTCTTACCACCACTGGTGTCTGCAGCACTGAGGAATAAATTGTGGAAATCAGAAGCTCAGGACAAAAGCAGTCTCGAGAGTGGACAGTTTGGATCAGACAGCTAGGCTGCCTTCCTTCCGGAGGCTCAAGACTGTGCCAGCATCCAGGGGCCTGTCTCATCTCAGAAATTAGAACTCCGCCCCTCCCCCCACTTCCAGCACCACATCAAGTCACCTCTGACCCATACCCTCCTATGCCTCCTCTGAGGACACTGGTGACACTGGGCTGCCCATATAACCCAGGACAATTCTGTATCTCAAGACCCTTCACTGAGTCACCTCTGCAAAGTGCGTCTGCCACACAGAGCTTGTAGGTTCCATGAGGGAAAAAGGAAACAGTACGTGTCCTTAGACACAGCAATATCCTGTTACCCTGGTATCCTCTTATGAGCAATCCTCTTTCCATAGACCCTGGGCTTGGTGGTACCGAAGCTTGGGAGCAGAGCCCTGGGAAACAAACCCAAGAGCCCTGTGAACTGCAGGGAGGGAGGGGGGAGTGACCATTCCACGGCACAGCCTAGCCACTGGGTCATACCAGGACTCTGTGCGGCTGGAGTGTGGTGGAGCTGGGCTAGCATAAGGCCAGAGTAGGTGACAGACACAGGCTAGTGTTTTAGAGTAGATGGAGAGAAGCCAGGTCAACTTCTGGGGACCCCTATAAGATGAGACGAAATACAGAGGTGGGCTTCAATCAGCAGTAAGGGTGAGGATGACTGGGGTGAGCAGATAGCTTCAGCCTCAAGACTGCTCCCCAGCAGGACAGAACCATTCCAGCTGTGCCTTCAGGGCATAGGCACAGCAGAGACCCCACCCTACACCTAGGCACCTGCCTCACCAGGCAGGCCCTTGCAGCTCCCAGGCACAAGGATGTGAAGATTCCACAGGCAGGGAAGAGATATGCTGTTAAGACTAGGCACCCAAGCCCAGGACACTAGGACAGCAGCAGGTACCTGAAGCAAGCCTCCCTGAATCCCAGAGATGAAAACAGGGCACCTCCCATCTCCTTGATTCCCCCAACAGATCATTCACATTAGACCAGAATGGAATTTTGATCACAGAAATATAATAAAATTCTACCAACCACAAGGTTATCTGCCTCCATCACATGCTGGAAATGCAACCAGTGTTTGACATGAACAGAATTCATTTATGGGGGAAAATGAGGGTGTTCTTGCCAAGCAGGAAGAACACCGCTGCCATGATGCATTTACTAGATCAGGAACAAATCACTCCTGGAGTCACCAGACTTGTCTCTTGTCGCTGTGGAGATGGTGCTCAGGTTGCAATACAGTTCCTCCATTAATGTCACTCTTGGTTTCTGTCACCAGTCTCACTTTCTAGAGAAGGAAACTGAGGCTTAGTTCTCATTGGGTTGCAAAATGATGGAGCCATGATCCACACAGGCCTGAGTTCAGTCCAGGTCTTGTCCTCCACTGCTGGGCACCTGGGGACAAGCCTCATTACTTCTCTATCTTCATGTTCTCCACAGGCAAAATGGGAATCATACCAACTGCCTGGGGCATGTGCTACTGGTGGCCCAGCCAGAGGCCATCCCCTGTCATGTCTTGTGTTGAGTCCAGAGATCAAGGGGAGTTTCCCAGAAGTCAGTATCTTCCCTCTGGCAGCTCCAAAGCTCCTTGTTTCCCCTGTCAGGGTACCTAGGAGGTTGGTCCTGAGTCAGTTTTAGCTAAGAAGCATTGTAATGGCTATCTGGTAGCGATTCTCAGAAAAATCATTTATTCTAAAAAGTAGAGACTGGGGGTGCTTCCTCAGGACACAGCCGTGAGGGGCTATGATGGCAGCAGCAATGGATGCAGACTTGTAGTCATGAAGCAACAAGCCTGGAGGTAAAAGCCAACAGTGAGAGGAAAGGAACACTCCAGCTCCAGACTAAGCTGCCTAGTTGACTACCTGGTCAGTGCCACTGAGCAATAAGCACGCTTCATGTATAAGTTCCTGTGACCCAAGAGTGTCAGTTATCTGCAGCCCAAAGCATTCTTAATGCATTCCATTCTTCAGAGCTGTGGTGAGGGCTAGGATTCTCAGATCCTCCATCCCCCTGTACCCCGACATCAGCCTGGCATCTAACATGGATCTTGTCCCTCTTCTGCTCTAAGCTTCTCTTCCTTAACGAGGAATGTTAAGGCTTTGCATATGGTGAATGGTTTTTTTTTTTTTTTTTTTTTTTTTTTTTTTTGCCTCCATCTTCTTTAACTTTAAAACAGCCCCTTGAGAATCATCTACCCACAGGATGGCAACACACCTATTACCTCTTAATGGAACCTTCTCTGCCCTTTCTAAAGCCACCCCACTGTGTGTTGAGCCCTTCTTTGGTGAACCCACCCCCGTATTATAACATGCTACACACCATTTGTTCCAATACTTGTGCAGCAGGCCCACATACTGGAGGGTCACCCTCCTGGATAATGGCCATCTTTGTACTTCACAGAGGTGTCCGTAATACCCAGGGTGGTTTGGGGCCCATCAGAGGCATTTGATCAGTATGCTATTATTAAAATGAATTGCCACATCCCCCCGCACAGCACTCTGAGCTTATATGCATGGCTATTCTTGATACAGGCTGGTGGGAAGGTCCCCAAGTCATGTACAAGGGCACTTAGGTGGTTCACTCAGGTTTGTTTCAAGTCAGTAATAGAAAGTTCTAGAAGCAAGTTTCAACCTGCTGCTGCTGAAGTTGAAGCTGCTGCTCTTTTGGGACCAGGCTGGCTGGTCCTGCTTCTGTCTATGAAGAACCTTGAGTTGTGGCAGGTTTTAACGGCCTCATCTCAGAAAGAAGCCATACTGTGAGACTACAATGAAGACACTTGGTGTCATGAGCAGTGCAGCTCAATGTCTATGGCTGTGCAGAGGCCAGCTCCAAGGCCAGAGCCAGGGGATACTGAATAGTTAAAGACAAATTGGAAAGTGAGGCCTCCTCAGCCATTTACCAGCAGTGTGCCCTGGGGCAATGCACTCTGCCCCTGCTTGCCTCCATGCACTCATCAATACTAATGACACCATCTGCAAGAACCACATAGCTCTGGCCTTTGAGCCAAACGATTCCACAACACCCCACTGCAATCCTGGAAGCTGTGGCTGGGGTAAACAGCCAGCCAGCAGGCAGATGTCCATCAGCAGAAGAATGGCCTCTCTCAAACAAAAAACGGAAACAGCATTATGACATGTGTGCACCAGCAGTAAGGAAGATCTTTGTAGAACCCCAGTCTCTGGGACTGCTACAACTGAGCTAAGGTCAAACTTTTACACACAGAACACAGGAACAGAGTCTCTAGCCCAACCTGCTTCCCCATGGAGGGTCTGCAAGCCTCCTGCCCTTTCATTCTGAGAGCCCCAGCAACACGCGCTCTCCCTCCCACCCAGCTGCCTCCCTGCTCGGCCTTCTCCCAGTCCAAACAACATTTCAGGCCAGGGCTTCGCATGGCAGTTTCACTGCAAGCTGTTTCTAAGATGCAGTCATGCTCAGTGCAGGGACTCTCTCACCCTGGGCACACGCATGGGGCGAGCATGGTGAGCTATCCAAACAGAGACAGGGAACTTCCTCCTATAAATTTGTTTCCATCTTGGCTACAACCAGCCCCATCCTCACTGGCTCCAGGACTCTTCCAACTTGCTCTTAACCAATCCCTTCCCTTTAAGAGTGTGATCCCTTTCATTTCCAGGACCTTGCCAAGGTCCTCTGCAAATGTGGAATCCATTCTTTTCATCTCCCCTATGGTCTATGTCCTGCATGAAAGCACCCTCACACACCAACACTCACAGCCTGTATCACAGTACATGGCTGCACAACCAAACACACCACTCAGGGCCTGTCTTGTTCTTCCAAACTTCTATGTCACTATCACCTGTCCCCTTTGCCTTCAGCTCCCTCTCAAGGCCAGCCCCTTCTGCCTCTTCTAGGAATCCTGCCTTCACCTCCAGGTGAAGAGGAAAGCACCCTTCCCTGTCCTTTAACGCACCTCAGGCAATGTGTCCGGAAAGGTTCTTCAGAGGCATCCTAAATGTGCCGCCTCACACTGGAGTAGTGGAATGGTGTGCTAGCTAGAATGGGAGGCTTGGAAAGGGACAGCCTGGCCTTGCTTAAACTCTGTTGTGTCCCAGCTGTGACCTCCAGCACTGTCATCACTCAGCTAAGGTGTCACACAAAGGTCCATGGTGAAGACAGATGAGGAAAAGGCTGACCTGTGTTAGGATGACTGATTGCTCACAAACAGAGAAGAGACACTGGTCCTTGTGCGCTGTGGATGGAATAAAACAGCACAGCTGCTGTGGAAAATGGTACAACAGTTCCTTTAATAAAAGAAATAAACATTGAGCCAGGTATGTGGCACACACCTGTAGGTTGAAAGCCACAGCCAGCCTGGGCTACATGAAATCCCATCCTTACAACTCAAATCAGGGGCACAGGAGATGACTTGGTGGCTGAAGCCTTTGCTGTGCAAGCAGGAGGTCCCAAGTGCTGATACCCAGCACCCATGTGAAAAGCTAGGTGTGGTGGTGTGTGCCTGTAACTCCAGAGCTCGGGGAACGGCAGGGACAGAAGGGTTCAGGAAGCCTGCTGGCCAGTTAGTCTAACACGAAGCAGAAACAGCGAGCTCCAGATTCAGTCAGAGAAACCTAGAGCCTCCACAGGGGCATGCAGAGTTGGGGCTAGCTGGGCAGAGAAAAGGAACTAGTAAAAGTGGGAGGGGTACAAGAGAGGGTTAGAGAGATAAATATGGTCAAAATACATCATGTACGTATTTGTATGATGTATGAAATGTCATAGTGAAACCCACTATTATACAGAATTAATATATGCTGATAAAACATCAAAACAGATTATAGGTGTACACCTAAAATCCCAGTATTTAAAAAAGTAAAGGTAGAGGGGCTGGAGGAGACTCAGCAGTTAAGAGCACTTGTTACACTTGCAGAGAACCTGGGTTTGGTCCCTAGACCTCTATGATTTCTCAGATTCTCAAGACAGATGCGAGGCCAGGGAGAGCACCAGAAGAGAGGGAGAAAAAAAATGGTCTCCACCCACCTTCCCAGTGTTAGTTGCTTTGAATGTTGCTATGACAAAATATCTGGCAAGGCAACCTAAGGAAGGGAGGCTTTGTTTGGTTCAGTGTGAGGACAAGGTCCATCATGGTGGAGAAGCCATGGCAACAGGAGAGTGAGGGAGCTGGTCACATGAGGGAGGTGAACGGTGGCACTCAGGTGGCTTTTCTTTTTTGTGTAGTCTAGGACTCCAGCCCATTGAATGGTACCTCTCACATTTAGGGTGACAGTTCCAAACTCAGTTAACATAATCTAGACAATCTCTCACCAATACACCTAGATGCTTGTCTTTTGTAATCTTGTCAAGCTGACAGTCAATATTAACTGTCACTGCCCCCAAAGGCTGAGAGACCTGTTGGCTTTGGCTGCATGTCCCTATTTAGGAGTGACATGGGACTGGCAGGGTCTAGGAGGTATTTTCCATCCCTAGAGGTCGGGGGCCACGATGAGGGCTGCTTCTTAAAAGCCACCACAAGGATGCTACCAGCTCTTCTCTGGGTGGCTTCACAGAACAGCATGCCTGTGAGGATGCTCCAACCAAATTCAGATTAGCTATGGAGCAAAGACTGAGCCTCCATGTCACTTCTAGGCAAAGTTATATCACTTGCACTCAAGTAATTCCCATCATGACATCCACCGAGGACTGAGGAAGAATTAGGGCTCAAACTAGAACCTCATTACCATGGAGATTCCACGGGGGTGTCAGAGGAGGAAGCCCGGTTCAGACAGGTTATACAACCTGTCCAAGGTCACAGCTCACCAGCAGCAGAACTACCACTTGAACTGTTCCTGCTACACTGGTGTGGTCCCTTGTAACCCTGTGACACACTCAGCTGTGTCGCCTGTGGCAGACTCCTGGGCTGTCACTGGGGTAGACCCTGCTTCCTGTGGAGTTTGCATTTTCCCTATCTCTGGGATGCGCCTTCTAAATTCTTTTTGTAGGCTGCCCCTCTGATGCCCATGAATTTGGGACCAGCCAAAATTATAGCAATCTCAGCTCTGAACTCAGGTTCTGCCCAGGACAGCAGTTTCAGAAAATAAAAAGTGGGTTCTGTGCCTATTGCTGCAAAGCTGGCTTTGACCATAACTCAGGTGACTGACTGATAACTCTCCCCTTGGGGTGGCCTAAAGTGCATGTGCCTGGTAGGGAGGCATGAAGGCCTGACTGCTGGCTGCCATCCTGTGCACAGCAGCTAGTTTCCCAGACACCAACACCTCCCCACAAGCCAATGAAATCTCTCTGTGTCCCTCATATTGATGTTTGATCAAAGAACACAAACCACTTTAAGTAAATGTTATGGTCTTATCGACAGGAAGACAAGAACTGAGAGGGAGTCTGCGGAGGAAGGAGCTTGGCTTTAGACCCCATGCTATGTGGTCTCCTGTCTGTAAGGATCAAGATCCTAAAACAGAAGAGAGATGCTGGCAGGTGGTAGTGACAGTTATTCTTGATCCCAGAAGAACACAGGGTGATAATGCAAACAGAACCATGCAAACAACACCCAGAGAGGCTAAGGTGTCAGGGGGCCCATTTCAATCATTTCCCCCCATTCTTCCCTGTAGGAAATAGCTCACTTTCTGAAGGAGGAAGAAGGCTTTATAGAAGAATTTTGCTGATGCCTGGCTTTCTTCCGGCTACAGAACCCCTTTCCCCACCAGCTAGAGGGCTAGTGGTCCTGTCAATCAAGGTTCAAGATATCCTGCCAGCCAAAAAGATGGTCCCTACCCTGAAATAGAAGACTGGAAGGGAAGGATATGGTGTAATTGTGGTGGGCATCCTTCTGCAGATGCACCCTGAGTTTCTCGGCTCCGGTTCTTGGATTGCTCACACCCTTCAAGTACATTCTCAAATTCCAGAGTCAATCAAGTTGGTTTCTGCTATTTACAGCCCAAGACCCCCACTGTCTAAGACTCTTCTAGAATCATGATGCAGACTGTGCATAGTCAGTGCCTGGATCTGGACCCTGAAGAATTCAATGCATATAAAGTTCACGTGTAAAGACATATCCCAACTTTCTTCCCCTGTCCTGGGTGCTAAAGCAGGGGCCTACTGTGGCCTAGATTCAACTACTAGAAGTGACTACCCCTAGGAGCCAGTGGATGGCGGGGATCCACATGCCTGAATAAGCCCTAGTGCAGAGCTGTATACCAGCCCTGAAGGTCCCCTCTATCTTGCTGTGAGAGAAAGATTCATAGTAAGCCACAGTATTTGTACTACTTTGTGGCAGCAGCTAATCCTAGAAGGCAACACATAGCTTAGAGGTCACAAGCAGAAGCCAGGAAGACCAAACCTGAGGAAATAAAAAATAACAAAGCCTGGGTCCCTCCTTCTATCCTTGAGGGAGCTCTCGAGTATACAAGAAGCTTGGAAACCCAAGGCCCCTCCAAGTCTACCCACTTAGACAGATCTCACCTTTTTCTCGTCTCCACTCTGCAGGAGGTGTAGGGCACTCCTCCGGTCACTCTCATGCTGTCTCAGGGTGCTGCCATGGGGCTGGGTCAGGCTGGAGGGAGGGGATGTGCTGCGACCCTGTGGGTCCACCCAGGTGTAGATGTGGTTGGTGACATAGCCTCCGGGGATACGCCCAGCTGAGTACACAGACAGCACAAGCTTCTTGGAGCCCTTGAGAGCCTGAAGAGAGAGCGACACAAATTTAGAAGGAAGGGGGCACTCCCACTTGGCCATTAATTCACCTCCTATTAAGAGTCCACACATGGAGGAGGAGCCCCGCCACCCGCCCCCAAACCCTTAGTGTTGGCATGTAAAAAAACGGAGCATCTATCCCACACTATTTCAAGTGGTCCAAACCCCACCCGCCCCCAAACCCTTAGTGTTGGCATGTAAAAAAAACGGAGCATCTATCCCACACTATTTCAAGTGGTCCAAACCCCCACCCGCCCCCAAACCCTTAGTGTTGGCATGTAAAAAAAACGGAGCATCTATCCCACACTATTTCAAGTGGTCCAAACCCCACCCGCCCCCAAACCCTTAGTGTTGGCATGTAAAAAAATGGAACATCTATCCCACACTATTTCAAGTGGTCCAAATACAAAGTCATCTCCCAAGATATCTGTGCAGAGGACAGTGAACTGAGCAGGCCTGAGGCTGCTGTCCCTGCAACGCCTGCATGCAGGACTGGCCCGGCACTGGTGTTGGAGACCTTGGCTTTGGAATGTAGCTCTAGGGTCTCCCTGTTGGACACCGCCTGTGCACAGTGTGGTTATGCTAAGCACCTGCTCACCTTCTGCAGTCTGGAATGTGGGTACCTCAGAGTTCCTATGTGACTGGACCCCAATAAACCAGATAGTATCACATATGTATCACAATTTGATGTGTATGTAGGTGACTCTTTGGGTGCCTCCTCTGGATTTCATTACTGTCACTCTAAATCAGAGTCATGGAGTTTAAGGACAGTCAGCCCTCTCTACACATAGTTTCACACCCACAGATTCACTCAGCCTCAGAACAAAAGTGTTTTTACTTTTGTTTTGTTTTAATGCACCCAGGGGCCTGGGGGACAGGTGGCTCAGTGGTTAAAAACATTTGTCATGCACATGACATTAGATCCCAAGGACCCTCAAGTCAGGCTGACAGAGCAACCTCTTATGATCCCAGCAGTTGGGAAGCAGGGACAGGATCCCCAGGGCAAGTTGGCTAACTAAACTTGCTGACTCACAAACTCTAGAAAGAACTGAGAGACCCTGTCTCAATAAATAAAGTGGAGGGTCATCGAAAAAGACATCAAATACCAAATTTGGGCTTCCATGTGCATGTGTATATATGTACACACACACACACACACACACTTGAGGATTTATTTTTAAGTCTGAACCCGTCCTGAACATATACAGACTGTTCCCCATTAGCATTCCCTAAATAGTACATTGCAGCAGCTACTTGCATAGCACTTACATTACATTAGGTATAGTCCTCTGGAGATGATTTAAAGTCTACAATGGGTATACTATACCATTTTAAGTTCTTTTTACATGTATTTATTTGTATTTATGTGTATACACACATGTACCATGGCACATGTGTGGAAGCCAGAGAACAACTTGTGGGAGTTGGCTTTCTATGTCCACCAGGTGGGTCCTGGGGATCAGGCTCTGGTCCCCAGATTTAGAGCTCCTTCATCCACTGAGACATCTCACTAGCCATTTTACAAAAGGGTCTTGAGCGTCAACACATGCTGCTGCCAAGTTGCTACAGATTCTAAGGGACAGGAATATAGGCTGAATATGTGTGAAACTGTCTAGCCTAATAGTGGTCTCAGGACCCCAATAAAATATTAGATAAGAGTCAAAAACAGACACATCTGTAACAGTACAGTAGCTTAGCACCAAGCAGGAGCCTGTATGTGGCAAGGATTCCGACCTACACCTGGCATGTACAATCTCAAGGAATCCCTATGAACTCCTATCACGGATAAAGGACCCCCCCCTCCCCACACACACACAAAAGAAGAGCCAAAACCATAGACTGAGCTCAGAGTTGCAGGAAGCCAGCCATTTGCAGATTGCATAAGAGAAACAGCTGCCCCCACTGCAGACACCAGGTGGTTGTAAATGAGACAACAGATTCTGCAGTTTCAATAACAGCTTGTTTAAGGAAAAAGGCTGACTTCCCCTTTCTGCCCCTAATGAAACTCCCCAACCCCCTTTCCTATTCCTTAACTACAAAATCCTCAGCTTGAAGTGTGTAAACTGTGTCGTGTCGAGGTGCCTAAACTCTTGTCCTTCATTTCTTCCTACAAACAATTCTTACAATTATGGGTGAAGAGGGATCTGCTGCTTCTGTGAGGAAGGGTACGGACTCAGTGTTTTGCATACACAGTAAGGGGTTCCTTTCACACAGCTACTAATTTCAAGTGTAGATACCATCTTTGCTGTACAGTTTTCCAGTATAAGGATGGAGAAACACAAGGAGTAAGGAATAAGTCAAAGTCTTTGAGCTGGAGTAGAAGCTGAGGTCAGTCATATTGCTTTCCCACAATGTACCTGTAATGGAGATGAAGGCATAGATTCTGGGAGACAGTCACTTTGTATTGGATTAACAGCAAATACACCTCATGTTAGGAGTTCCAATTTGTAACTTCCCTCAGATTTAGACACTGTTATAGTGAATGTGAGGATGGGGCCTTTAGGGGGAACGAGGCCATGGGGATGGGGTTTTCATGATTAAATCAATGGCTCTACACCAAGGGTGGGTAACCATACCAGAGCTTGCTTGCTTCCTTTCCTCTATACAGGACACAGGAAGAAACGTGGCCCTTTGCAAGTCTGGCAGGTCACCTGATCATACCCACATGCTGTGTCAGGCTCCAGCCTCAGGAAATGTAAGCCACCCACTATGTGATGGTCCTACTAAGGCAGCTCCAGCTGACAATGCACCCTACAGTTGGGGCTGGTCTGACTCTGTGAAGGTTTCTTCAGGTCCTGGACTTGTATGCTTGCAGGAAGAGTACACCGACAGAGGCTTTGCAATGTCACGGACATGACGTATTCTCATGCTAAGTGGGGTTGACAGGCTACAAATCATGGCTTCTAGCACAATCTCAGTTATGTTGGGTGAAAAATCATGCAAGAAAACAAAACATTAGAGTGCATCAATGCCCAGCAGCACCTCCCTCTGGGTAGGATTGTCCATGGCTGATATTTTGCCTTTCTTTTTTTCTTTTTTGCAGTGTTTTTCAAATGTTCTATGATGAAAGCACATAGCTTTCAATATAAGAAAATAAGAACACCTAAATTGTGGGAACTAAACTGTTAGCCCAATCTGCTTCTCTGAGCTCTATGAACTCCACAATTCTCAAGGAACAATTGGGATGAGGGATGAGGTTTCCTTCAGACAGCTTGGGGCCCTGGCTCTCCCAGGGAGCAGGGTCTAGCTCTCCCCTCCACAGGCAAATGCCAGGCCCTGGTGGAGGGGTAGTGAGTATGGCAGCTCTCCAAAACTCTTCTTAGAAAGATTCATGAGATGATGAGCAGGGAAAGATTTACAGTGTTCTTGAGTATTCCCCACGGCTCCCCTGATGGAATGGTGGGGGAAAATCAAACCTTTGTTAAGTTGAAGGTGCAGGATGGAAGGGTGTGTTTCTGCTCCAGCAAAACAGAAAGTGAGTGTCCAGGTGAGGGTCCAGGTGAGATCAGCAGAAGCAGAGGTTGCCTACATCCTCTGTGCCTTCATCTTCCTGAACCCTCTTCCCTGCCTGCTGCTTCCTGTTCCAAAAGGGTAAAGCTTCCCTGTCCAGTGCTGTTCTGACTAGCAGGAGTCCTCCATCCCATCCTAGGCATATGATGAAATTGAGCCTGGACAATCACCCTGTAAGCCCCAACCAAGAACCTACTGTGTACCAGGCCTGTCAAGGGACAAAGTACTACCTTGTGCACAGTAGGCGCTTATGATACTTATGTTTTAAAAGACAAAGTATTGCCAAGTGCACAGTAGGGTCTCACAACACTTGGGTCAGATAAGTGACAGGCTGTGCCTGGGGAGACAAAGCAGCTTCTGGTACACAATAGGCCCTCAAAGCAGTTATAGCCTGGTAAAATAAGGTATGAGTGCTCACACAATGGGCCCTCACGATGTTTGTCCTTGCTGAGGGGCAAGACATCATCAGGTAGTATGTTAGGCCTCAATGACATCTGCAGTCTGCTGATAGACAAGACATCACTCGGCATAGAGTAGGACTTCATGACACCTGCACCTAATGAGAATGAGGTAAGACACTGTCTCTGATATAAAATATGTCCCCACAATACCTGCAGACTAATGAGAGACATAGCTTGGGTTATCACACAGTAGGTCCTGAAAAATGACTGACTGGCCTGACTGGATGATTACATAAGAAGCACCCCACAAGAAATCACAACCACCAGAGGTATCATCATGCAGCCAGGCTAGCAACAAGGGTCAAGTTGCACTTGCCTACTGAGAGGCACTGGGCTGGTGGTTTGCCCTCTCAAAGCAATATGTGTGAATGGGGAGAGAGACACACCTTGATGGGGTGGTATGGGACAAGTGGGACTATGGATATGAAATCTGGGCGTCTGTACCCAGTAGGTGTTCAGCAGACATCAGAGCTCCCCTTCCCACCTCCTGTGGGACTCTCCACGGAGAGGAATCCACAGGAAAGCATTGTCTGAGAAGTCAGAAGGGAAAGCGAGGGAAGAAGAGAATTGCTGCAGTGAGCATCAGCATCATTTGTATTCTTTCTCACAGGCAACTGGTCGACTCCACTTGGTCAGTTCTATAAATAGGCGGGCAGCAACCTTGAGAAAGAGGGAGGTTAATGCCTTTGACGAGAACACCATTGCTGGTGCTGCTGAGGTTCGGCCTTGAGTGCCCACACTAGTGTCCCCATGCTACCTGCCCTAATGTTTTATAGAAGGGCTGCCTAAAAACCTGAGATGGGAAGGGACAGCGGGCGAGGGTAAAAGACACTGCTCAGGACATGGAGTCCCAGCTCTAGTAAACTCCAGATTCCTCAGTGCAAGGCTGTAGGGCTGCCAGCCACATCCCTCCGACCATTCTGCAGCCAGATGCTGACTCTTCTTTCAGGACAAATGTGGCTTTCAGGGATTGTGGAGGGCAAGAACATCTGTGGCTCTCTGTATTTTTCTGGAAAA